TTAATGAGGCTTCGGGATCTGCTCCAAAGCTGTCTCATATTGCACGAGCGTGCCATTACACCCAGATAAGTTGCCCCACCAGAGCAAAACGATGGCAGGGGAACCCCGACCAGGGCATCTCCAGTTGACCATGTACCATGTTACCCCCTTAATGAAGATGCTCAGGGAGTGTTTGATCCCGGTTGCCTTTTGTTTTGGCAGGAGACAGCACGGCCCCGTTGCCTTTGCCCGCTGCCGTGTTGAAGGATGCATTTGCATCCCGAGCGAGGTTTTTTGTCCGGTTGTTCATTTTCATTCGCTACTCCATGCCTGCTCGCCGTCAGAGGTGATCGGCTGTGGTACTTAGCCAGGATTTGCTCAACCTAATGCCGATTCTGCCTTGCAGGCAGGTTAAACCAGTGGGGAAAACACTGAAATGACTTTTAAAAGTGTAAACTGGACTCATGGAATTGACCGCTCTACCAAACACCTTTAGAAAATTGTTCCCTTTCCATGTGGTCTAAAGGGCCTCCCGATGTTTTTGTTATTTTTGTGGCAGTTTCTCTGCTTCTGTGGTGCAAAATGACAAGGTATTTTCTTAGTGCTGTTTTTTAAATCCTTTCTCAGGGTGTGGCTGGTATGGATGGACAAACAGGTCCCAAGGGGAATGTGGTAAGTTTTTACTGCAAATTTCACGGGCGGTTCAGATATTATATAGAGAGAAATGTAAAATGTACTCTATTAAATTAGATTTGCTAATTGCTTTTTAGCCTGGTCTAGATTCCTATCAGAGCCTGTGAAAACCACAGAGGGTATCTTCCTACAGCAAATGGCTGTTAATTTATTATAATTTCTGATGGAATTACACATTATTTCCCTATGAAAGATCAAACATTTTCATTGAGATGTATGTTGTTCTAATGAATATCAAAATATGGTAATTTAACTGAGGGGGAAAAAAAAAATCTTTATGTGCCTCGTACTTTGTACTAATCGGATGAAATGGACTCCCTGCAGAAGAGCCAATGCAAAGCCGGGTTGTGTTAAAGCCCTGCTCAGCTCATTTGGGCCGCATGTCCATGCAAAGAAGTGAGTGTGCCCTGAAATAACTTCACCCCTCCCTATCCCGCTGCGGAGGGAAGCTGTTTCCCTTTCCCAGGAGCTCTCGGTTACTGGCGGTGGGTTAGAGAGGGTGTCGAGATGCTGCGAGAGGGTGCGGGGCTGTGCCGGGGACAGGAGCTGCGGTGCCCAAGGAAGCACCGGCTCCGCTCTTGCCTCTCCTGCCTTCAGCTCTGCCTTTGTCTCCTCGCAGGGTCCTCAAGGTGAGCCGGGTCCCCCAGGACAGCAGGGTAACCCAGGTGCTCAGGTAAGAGGAAAACGCCTTTTCCATGGGTAGGAAAAAGAATGATAATTTCAAACAAGCTTCACTCCCCCACCAGAGATGAGACAAACAATAAGGGGATTTGCTGGGAATTGGCTTGACGATAAGTCCTGGCCTAAAATCTTCCTGAAAATGCCCCCAGTTTCAGATTCCCCTGGTTCTCACCTGGCTTTTGCTGCCATGATGCAAAGCCAAACCCAGGTCCAAGCAGTCTCTTTGGCCATGCCACATCTTGTGGCTCATGCCTGATTTTTAGCATCCCATGGTCCAGTTGCTCCGGAGCCAGATGGGTAATACAGATGTCCAAGCCTTGCTGTCAGCCTTCTCCATGGCTCTCAGTAAGTCTTGCCCCTCGGAGCATCTCCGTTTCCATCCTGGGGATGAGTCTGGCTGCACACAGCAGAGCAGTGCAGCTCTCCTGAGGAGGCATGCCGTGCAAAAATGAAATTTTATCGTCTCTCGCAAGACATTTTGAGAATGAATGGAACTGGGGAAATCCCCAGCCATCACAGGCACCAGAATGATCCTCAGCTGACGCACTGCCAAAATGCATTTGGAACGAATAACTTGCTCCTTAATGACCCTATTTTTTTTTTCTTTTCACAGGGTCTTCCAGGTCCACAAGGCGCGATCGGTCCCCCAGGAGAGAAAGTACGTTTAAATACTGCAGCTCTGACTTAAGACAACTGTTGCCATTAATATGCATTTGCTACTTCAGCTGCTCCTTTGCCCCATATGCAACATCTGTTTGCAGCCGTGTCTATGAAAGTCTAATGTGTCTCATTCCAAACAGAAGAGAGACAAGAAAGCACGGTTTACCTCTAATTCATAATATTTGTGTTCATTTCCTATCTTAAGAGAAACATTTTGAAGGCAGCCTGTGGTAAAACACTAGGAGAGGAGAGGATTGAAAATTGTCTTTTTCTGTGGGCTAAATGCCTGGAAGTCTGGGCAGGATGGTAATTGGGAAGAGCCCGTGGATTTGGCTCGCTCGGCTGAGATCCCCTCCCTCTGCCTGCTCCCTGCCTGCCTGCGCCGGCTCTCCCTGATTTTCCACTGCCGTTAACGTGGGGTAGGTGCTGGCCGCGGTTGCTCCCAGGCAGCCCTGGGACCGTCAGGATTTAAACAAGGGGAACAGTTTTGCCTACAGAGCATCATTTCTCCTGGCGTTTGCTCGCCTCCCGTTGAGTAGGGACACAGGAGAATCCCCCGCTTGTGTTGGCAGCCTGGGGCAGACTCAAATTATTGATAATTCTCCTGAGAAGGAGCATATTAGCAGTTCTGCCAGATAAAGGGCGCTTGGATTTCAGTGCCGAGTCACACACTCACAACAGCAGTGGCAGAAATCAGGGGGTTGCTTAATTAAAAAGGTAATCATTGAACGGTGTTAAAGGAGCAAGCACAGTCAATTGAGGCAGCTCCGTGCTTCCTTTGCCAGTTAATCACCTTGCCATTTGTCACTAACGAATGGGCATTTCTCAGTCCAGTGAGCCCCATAGTCTGATATCCTCAAACTTGTGCTTATACACACATGCAGCATCGCGCCCTTTCGGTAGGACAGCAGCTTGATGCCTCGTGCCCCAGCATCTCCCGTTGAGCTCTCATCTATATCGTGTTTGTGTGAGCTGCTGGCGCTAACGCTGCAGCATCCCAGGATGCTGGAACAACTCTGCCCACAGAAATAAGCAGACTCCTGCAAGTCACGACAGCTTTTCCAACAGCCTCACCTGTCTGTGGCCTTTCACAGCTAGGAAAAGCAAGAAATGTGAAAAGCCCCGTCCTCCAACGCTCTGAAGACTCTGAGCATTGCAGCTGTTGTGTTTTTGTTTGTTTTTAGGGGCCGCTGGGCAAACCCGGTCTTCCTGGCATGCCTGGTGCAGACGGTCCTCCGGTAAGTCGTCCTCTCCTGGGTGTCTGCTTGGCGCCAGGGCTGCGGGGCCTGATCCTGCACCCATCCACCCTGGGGTGCACCATGGGCTTGGGAAGTGTGTGAGCCTGCAAGGTCAGGCTCGCCATGCCCACGTTTCGGCTGGATTGAAGGGTTTGAGTTTGAGAAGCCTTATCCCTGCTCCAAGCTTTGCTCGCCCTCGCAGTGCAGCACTAGGTACTTCTCACCATCTTCTTGGGCTTCTTTTTCCCCTCCTTCTGTTTCTCCTCTCTGTTTTACATAGGTTGGCAGCTCACCAAGGTAGGGACGGTCTCCTGTGTGTGTGGTTATGCGTACCGCAGCACTAGCACGGTGTGGTCCTCATCTTGCTCGGGGCCGCTGGGCACTGCTGCAGAACGGTGATAAGAACAGGTTGAAATTGCATGTCAGTGTTGTAGTCTTGCAGCTGCCTCCTAATCCTACTTTAAACATCATTTGCTTCTTGCTCTGGAAATTGTTCTTAAAAATCTCTGGCCTTTAAACCTGAACTCATTTTTACACACCTTAGAAGCACCTGGTTTTAAGAGTGACAAATGTAAAATAGTTTCATTGCACTAATGTAAATGCAGAGCGTGGCAAAAAAAAAAAATTACATTTCCCACCCTGGGATTATCATTCCTACAGAGGGCATTTCGAACATTCGTACAATTGTTAGCTGAGTCAACAGAACAGCTAAAGCAAAGCCCAGAACATCTCTAAGGCTGTAGCTTTCGATGTGAAATTCCTACAGCCACCTCCAGGGAAGTTCAGCTGGAGAAGACGCCAGGTCTATTTTTATGCAGACTGAAGGCTGCTAAGACGGGCAAGCTGAGCACGTGTGGGTGTGCGTGGACACAGGTCCTTTGCCACAGGTAGCCCTGTAGTTTGCAGACGGTTTGTAGGTTTGTAAGCATATGAGTTGCTCTTTCCAAGGACAAAAACCGGCCAATGTTCTCTTTCTAGAAATTGGTCTTGGAAGATATCTGAAAATCCCTGAGGGCCTGAAGCATCTCGCTGCGAAAGCCAACCAAGTTACTCATCAATTTTTGATCTTAGTAGCAGTAATGGAGACGGGCATTTTAAAAATGGTGATGATTTAGTGCAGAGTGGACAAAGGCTTTTGAAATCTTGCGTGACTTCCATTTTGCCTCCCCTGGGGTGCAGAGAGACGTCAGGAGCTGAAGGCAGGCACAGTTATATGACCACATTTGTGCACTGATGCTCTTGGTGCCATTTAAACTCACAGAACAAATTCAGATTGCATTTTCCTCCTACATTTTGTTGATGTAAAAATGACAGCTGTCATTTTGTTTCTTTATTAAACTAGCTTGTTTTATGAAATCTGGCTTGGCTGACATTCCTGTTCTGAAAATACTCTTATGATTTTCCTTGTTATATTGGTAGAAAGTAATTTGTATATTTAGAGAAGAGTTCGTAAGTAAAGAAACCATTGAGTGCAGAAGGTTTTAGTGGCTTTAGAGCAGCTGGATGTGCTTTCATCATTTGTATAAAATAAAAGGTCCCTGTGTGTGCAGCAAGTGCCCTTCTTGGGGGCTTATTGCTTATGTACACACGTTGCCAACCAAGGAGTTGTCTTCCATCCCAGCTCCATTTTAGTTCTGACAGTGGGGAAATCAATGCTAAAAACTACTTTTGTGGATTTCCCCCATTTCTCACTAATCCTCCAAGCTATATCTGAGGCAATTCACACTTTTGTTTTCTACTGACTGCAACCCCAGCAAAAGGCTTCTAAAGTCTATGAATGAGAATGTGTTGGAAACTCTTGGATGTTGAGTTATTCAGCATCAAATCCCATGAGGAATGCCTGGCCAGCATCCAGCCAGCCGCCGTCTAGTGGGGTTGCAGGTTAGCTGAGCATTTGTCATGAGATCTTGTAATGGACTCTAGGAATTAGGAAATTAATGAGGGGGTCTGACCAGTCTGGGCATCTTGTGACCTTCACAAGTTTGCTAACGCACGGAGTTAATTTTATCTGTTTTCCTATCTGCAAAATTTATATGCTGCTTGCTGCTGAACTCGCTGAGGTGTTCTAATATGTGAAGAATATTGTAAAATGGTTGTGCTTCTCTGTTGAAAAATGGCGAAGGGTAAAAGTATAAGTAACCAGGTAGAATACCACCAAGGACCCAAATGCTGCTCTCTTCCTTTTGGGGAAAGCTTAGTCTTGCAAGTAGGCTTCAGGGGGGCTACTTGTATCAACAAGAGCTTCCTGGAGAGCAACTGTGCTCCGAAAAATAAATCATAGCTGCCTGAGCGAGCTTGTTGGCTTCTGAAGCGTTAGATGTACACTAAACCTATTTCCCCTCTTCTCTTTGTCTCTTTTATGAATAGGGTCATCCTGGCAAGGAAGGTCCTCCTGGAGAGAAGGGGAGTCAGGTAGGTGTCAACAAGACCCTCGTCACCACTAAGGGGAAGGTTGCGGTAGCTGGGTGGAGACGGATCTCCGTGGGGCTCCAAGGATGGCTGGGCAGCCAGGGACTGTGGGTCAGTGGAGGTGGCAAGAAGCAAACCCTGTTTAAATTTGAAAGCTGAGCCCAGCTTTCATCTGTTTGGGAGTCTCTTCTGGTGCTTGGGCTGGTCTTTTCTCAACTTCTTTCAGCTTTCCTGGCAAGCAGCACTCTGTAGCCCGGCAGACATGAAAACCAAAACTGTGAAGGGAAGCCTTCTCTTAATTGGATACAAATAAATATCCTTTGTGGTACAGGGAATGCAGAAAATAACTTTCTATATTCCTAGTCTTCCTCTTTCTTCCTCTCCCCCTCAAAGTCCCTCTTTAACAATATATTTAAGAATATTGCTGGAGGCTGGAGTCCTTGAATTACGCAGTTGTCCGCCTGTCTGGGAGATTTACCATCTGCATTCCCGCTGTGTCCCATTCAGTTGAAAAACATTACATTTGTCAAAAGTCTTTGATTAGAGCGCGGTCTGGTTTGATGGACGTCCGCTTGAGCCTTCCTTGTGTGCTGCACGGAGCACAACCCACGGCCGCAGCCGTTTGTCTGGCTGGTGTCACGCGAGGCTGAAAATTCAAACATTGGCCTCTGCAGAATGTGAGAAGCCAATAAGCGGTCGTGCGGGCACGCTCCCTATGCTGGGAGACGCTTAGCAAATGTCAGGGATGTGATCTCGGAGCGGCGCTGGTGCTGCAGTTCTCCTCCAGCCAATGCTCTTGCGAGGTCCAGGAGGCTGGTGGACCCATCGGCTCCATCTGGCTGCCAGGCTGGAAAAAATGGTCCGTCTCAGGCTGGGAGAAGCGGAAGGGTGTTTGTTTAGTTAGGGAATTGAGTAAAATGAAAACCAACTGCGTTCGATAAAGAATGTGATTTATTTGCAGGCAGCAAGGGTGGGAAGGAGAGTTTTTGCAGGGTGCATATCAGGCACCATGTCTAGCACAGCTTGTGGTGTCTCTGGGGATTTGCAGCTTTCGGTGCCAGAAAGGAGCTTTGTGAGCATCTCCACTCCCACACAGCTGAGGCCGAAGGCCATCACCCTGAGGCTTGTGCCTCAAGCAATAATTCCTCTCTGTGATCATCATCATCATCACAAGCTCTGCTGCGTTACTGCAAAACCAGGATGGTTTGGAAGGGGGGAGACAGCAGAACATGTTCTTCCTTTCTCAGAGAACTTGTTTTCTTTAATCCAACACACAAGTCGTCAACCTTTTGTATAAATCCCCTTCCTAACAAGTTGTCGCTATCCTGACTCTTCTAATCCTCCTTTCCTATCATACCGATCTTTGAGTTGGCTCAGCGCAGTGCACCTGCTCGAGGTGATGTTCCTGTAGTGCGCTCTGCTATTTTGAGCTATTTTCAGGTGGCCGCTGCCACGTCCACCTGATCTGAAGCAGCCAGATGGCTGGAATATTTGTTTTCCACACACTCCTCTATCGCTGCACCTTTGTGTTGATTTTTGATGTGTTTTTCTTGTTGGCCTTTTTTCACCTCAGGGTCCACCAGGTCCTCAGGGCCCCATCGGTTATCCGGGACCACGCGGAGTCAAGGTAAGGAGGATGCAGAAACAGTGTCCATGGCATTGCTTGTTCAACTCCAGTTCTGCAGCTTGTGCTGGAGGTGGACACTGCCAGTGGGCACGGATGCCCTACCAGGGCACTTGGGGCCACCTCAGTGACGAACTGTATTTACCGCTCGAGCGAGCCTTGGTCCAGTGTCTTCTCTCAGACCGTGAGGATTACAAGTCCCCTGCTCTCCAGTAACCCCTCTTAGCATCGTTCAGTGCTTTGGAGAGATTTCTCTTTTAATTCTTTGTGAGCATGGCTCAGTCCCATTCCAATTGTTTCCAGTTTACAACCAAAGTAAATCTTAGCCAGAATGTGAAAACTTTAACAAGGCTTGTTAATAAAACAAAATAGCCTATTACTACAACAAAGCAAGCTTTTCATGCTCCTGATCCAAAACCTTGTTAGACAAAGCTTGTGCGTCTCAGCAATGTGCTTTTTCAAAAACTAGACTGAATTCCAGCTCTTCCCTCGCTCCTGCTGCCTGCAGTGCTTGTATGCTGATAAGAAGGCGGTGGGTATTTTTTTCCCCATTCAGCTCTAGCTATTATGCCCATCAAGATGTATTAGTTCAGGTGCAGATGCATCCTGCATCCCAAAGGTCCGATGAATCTGCAGGGATCTGTGCTAGCAGATACAAACACAGCTTGGGGACCACCTATAGGTGATGTTAAGCCCTCTTAAACCCCCTTGTATATTTTTTCAATAGCAGAAACCCATTTGCTGTTCTGCCTTCAAAATTTAAGCAGGACGTATTCAGCCAAAGCAAGCTTTCATCTCATTTCTTGCAAGGTTGCAGATTGAGACGTAGTGGTCCATTAGGGAATGGTTTGCTGTTGTGTTTACCGCTAAAGTGGAACTGTTCCACATTAGAATGATCTAGAGAAAGTGTGTCATGCACCAAACCCATAGTGCGTACAGACAAGGTTTTGCTTCCTACAAGCAGTGTTGTATTAACTGCACAAGCCTCCAGTTTGGAAAAAAAATGTGTCTCAATGGGTTCACAGCTATAAATAACTTTCAGATCTTGCCTCGCTTACCAGAACCCTGTCCTGCTGCACAAATTTTGACATACTTCTAATTATACTTTTTCTTGACATGCTAAAGGGAAGAAAAAATTTAAAATACCCCAAGCAAACTATTATTCCTCAAAAAAGAAAGCTTCCGACTTTTATTGTAAGAGTTGCATTGCACAGTACAGCTGGTGTAGATACCTGCGGGTGATGCTTTATCCCAAGAGGCAGGATAGATGGGAAGCGTGGGTGTCCAACAGGTTTGGGCTGGTGGCATAGCAGGGGGCGGATCCTGACCTCACTCAGCACCTCCACACTGAATACTATGCCTTGGTGAAGCTTTGGAGGGCTTCTGCACCGTGTCACAAATGCCCACACCAGTCCTGTTACTTTTTTTTCCCTCCTTTTGGTGCCTAAAGGTACTTTAAAAAAAATAGTGCATGCACAGAGGTGGTAAAAAAGAGCCAAGCTTAACCTTTGGGCATGTTAGACATGGTGCTGCTACCTGCTGCAGAGCAGCGTGGAAATCTCTGGCTACGTACTCAGAGATTTTAAAATGGCTTCACCTCCCAAGTGTCCATGCACAGCTTGAGCACTGTTTTTTCTGTGAATACTCAAGTGAACTCAGCATGCTGGCAAGGCATTTGTGGAAATGTTTTTTTGGAAAACATACACAGAAAAACTTTTCACGGTGCGTTTTATCCCTGGAAGGATAACTCCTGGGCAGGGAATGGGCAGAGACCACCAACCCTACCTGCCAAATCAAGCCAGCAGGGGTTTGTGACTGTCAGGTACTCACTGGTGATGCAAAAGCCAGACGTCAGCGGCTGATATTTGATTAGCAATATGTTTAGGAACATCACAGTTTGCAGAGATACCATTGTCAACATCAGAGGAAGCAAAAATTGCTGTGATTAATGATTCTTCACTCTTAAGCTTACCTATACCCTTGTAACTTCTTGTTTTATCTTCTGCAAGGGAGCAGATGGTGTTCGTGGACTGAAAGGCACCAAAGGTGAAAAGGTGAGTTAACACTGCACATTTGGATTGATTTTTTATACAGCCTCTGAGCATTTTTGCAGACTGGTCCTGTAAGATGCTCCTGGTGACATTTTCTCCTGCACAAGGGGTTTCTCTTAGACAAGTGGGGACTGAGCACCCACAGGACTGGTAACCTCTTTGTTTTCGGAGCGGGTGCAGGCTGGGTACCTGCTGTGAGATTCTGCCATGCCTTGGCTTAGACCTGGCAGTAATCGAGCTGCTGTGGTGTGCTCAAGTTTTGAGCTGTTTGCTGGGGCAGCTGTTACTGATAGCTCAGGGTCCAGTGTCGGGATGATCTCCTCCTGGCAAAATTTGCAGCTTGAGTCACTGAATGGAGCTGAAGGGTTTGTGGTGTGTTACAGCTGGATAGCGGCGTATGGGATATGCTGCCCAGCCCGGTCATCAGAGCAGCTTGTGAAATCCCAGTCAGTAAGAAAGTCAACACAGACTGTCTCTGCATGTCTCAAAGATGCAGTTGGTTTCTCCCAGATGAAGAGCCGGAGATGGAGAAAAATCTTGCCCGGTCCCATAAAGAGATCCATTTTCCTTTGTTCCTGTCCCTAGCAATTTGGCAGCAAAGCCTGCAGTTTTAGCTAGGGAATCCTGGCAGGGACCTTCCAAACTTTAAAAGTCTTTCTGGGAGCTGTGTCTTCATTGCCTATGAGAGATTTGCTGTAGGATGAAATACATTATTGATTTGAGCTCTGCAATTAAACCTTCTTGGCTGAAAGAAATATTGCCACTGTCCTAGAGGTTGCCTCGAAACATAGTGTAAAACATCCTTCATGAACGTAAAACCAGTTGTGCTTCAGAAATAATTGGTTCCCAGTACTGGCAAGGTGTTGTTATCCACATCAAGCAAGATTTGTGATCTTGACTTGCAGCCAGGACGGGGTGTAGGGAATACTTGCTGTGAT